ATGCAAAGATTTTTCCTTTGTGTTTTGGGTGAGAAGGAAGAGGAGATAACTCTCTTCCTTCTCACTACTCACTTCCAATCCTGTGACTCTCACCTCTCGTGCCAGTGTGTCTGGCTCTTTCTTTCGCTGTTTCTGTGTGTGTGTGCGCGCGCGCGCGTGTGTGCCACTGTGTTTCGCTCTTTCTCTCGCTGTCACTGTGTCTCACTATGTTTCCTTGGTGTGATTGTGTCACAGGTCCCATTAATAGGGAGATGCGCCACCTGATTAGCAGCCTCCAGAACCACAACCACCAGCTGAAGGGCGACGTGCAGAGATACAAGAGGAAGCTGAGGGAGACACAAGTTGAAATTGGCAAGGTGTGCATCAGCTCCTCTCTGTTTAATGTGTAGATAACAGGCAGTGTGGTAGGGAGTGATATTGCCTCATGATGCGATTCCAATGTGACATACTTTTTGTATGGAGTTTCCATGTTTCTCCGCCGTCAGAGAACTGTCTCTGCTTTCTTTGTTTCTGTAAATGTCACGCTTGGAAGAGGTTCTATTATTGTTTTTATTTTACAGGGTCTATAATATTGATAGAGTCACTGTCCGTTCCTCAGGCTGTGACAGGAGATCACACACTGTATTATTATTATTATTGAGAGACGGACTCACTGTCTGTTCCTCAGGTTATGACAGGAGATCATATACTAGGCTGCAGCTTTATGGAGTTTCCTCCCCTAGTAGGATAGGGAGCTGTTCTGATTCTGGCAGGTGTGTGAATTATGGGATCAGACTTGTTAATTTAGGGAGGAATGTTTGTCTAATCCCAGAGTGCAGGAGAAAGTGCATCTCTGCCTCTACCTCTCTGGGAGGAAACTGGTAAGTTTTAGGGAATGGTGTCTGTTTGACCATGTTCCCCTCCCTCCGTCTCAGCTGCGCTGTCAGAGCGGGGAGGCTGGCCCGGGCTTGGAGGACGCAGTGAGCGAGGGGGGCGTTGAGGTGAAGAAGGAGGAGGAGGAGGACCAGGAGGAGGAGGAGGAGCGGCGGCGCGAGCTGGAGCGGCAGCGGGCCCGGGAGAGGGAGAGGGAGGCTGAGCGGGAGCGCGAGAGGGAGAGGGAGCGCGAGAGGGAGCGGGAGCGCCAGCGCAGCGAGGAGCTCAAGAGGA